GGGTTCAAGACCAGCCTGGACAACTTGGTGAGACCTCGTCTCTACAATAAATCACAAAAACTAGCCGGGCATGGTGGCGTGCATCTATAGTTCCAGCTACTTGGAAGGCTGAGGCAGAAGGATCACCTGAGTCCAGTAGGTCAAGTCTGCAGTGGCCATGAGCATGCCACTACACTCTAACCTGGGTGACAGAGTGAGACTCCAACTGAAAAAAAAAATTAGCTGAGAATGGTGGCATGCTCTTGTAGTCCCAGCTACTTAGGAGGCTAAGGCAAGAGGATTGCCTGAGCCTAGGAGTTGGAGGTTGTGGTGAGCCATGAGCCACTGCCCTTCAGCCTGGGTGAGAATGAGACTCCGACTCAAAAAAAAATGCTATTTGGTATGATTTTTGGATGACACCTTTACAAGATTAAGGAACTTCCCTTCCTATACTTTGCGTTCTAAAAGAAAGATAATGCTTAGTCTTTTGAGATCTTTAAATCCAGAGTGCTTTGGGATTTATAGAGAGCTATACAGAGCCTTGGTGATTGTTATTCCTTGAGTTCTTAAAACATAAGCCAGGTCTGGGTCCTTCCTTCCTCTGTGCCCAACTCTCATCCTCTGTGGCTTGTGGTTTCAGTTGTTTCCTTGACCGTCAAGATCCACAATTATGAAGAGCACATGCAGAAACATCGAAAGGTAAGCTCTGGGCATCATTCATGTTCAGCAGTGGCAGCCTTGAGGAGAGGAGTGTGGGAGGGGGAGGACTCTGGGTCCAGAGGAGCAGCTGGGAAGCCAGGTGGCTACAACACCACACTGCCCACCCCTCAGCTGTTATGGGAAAAACACTTCCTGCCTCCAGAGAATCGGGAGCCTTGCAAGTCTATGCTGTGAGTGTCAAATACTGATGGTGAAGAATACAGACTTGAGAGCATGGTCTCTGTGTCTGCCACATACTGGGTGCTCAGTAAATATTTGCTGAATGCGGGGCAACCCCTTTGGGCCTCCTCCCACTATAGAGAGCTTTTCTGTTCTCAATAAATCCTGCTTTCTCACTTAAAAATAATATTTGCTGAATGTTTGAAGAGAGTCGGATTGCACTGGCATCAAATCCCAGTTCTGCCACTTCCACTTAATTAGCTGAGAGACTTAAGGGAAGGTCCAGGTCTGAGCCTCACTTCTCTCTAAGATGGGGATCATAAGAGCACCTGCTCAGGATACAGGACATAATAGCAGCCACCATGGTGCATGTAAAGTCTGTAGGCCCTGTGCTAAATATGTGGCACACATCATTTCGCTTAACCCTTATAACCATGTTTCTCCCCCACTTTACAGAAGAATCTAGTTGTGGAGTAATTAAGTTATTCCTCAAGACACCACTAGGAGGTGATGTGCTGAGACTTGAAAGGAGGCATCTGCTCCAGAGCCCATGTTCTTAACCATCACACCGTATCTCAGCACAGTATCTGGCACAGAACTGCTGTGATTAGGCTGTTGCTGTTATGTTTGATAAACACATGGTTGTGAATACAGACTGGCCCAGCACCATGCCTGGCACTCGTGTTCCCTGCAACTAGTTGAGCCTGCTTCTTGGAGGTCTCAGATTTGTTCACTGGAGTGTGCAACACCAGTTCCACAGCAGAGAGCCCTCACCAGGCAGCACCTCGTTGTGGGTAGGGGTCTCCAGTAAGAGCAAAAGGCCTTCCTTCCTCTCTACCCCAACTGAGTTTGCTAAGCTCTGGAGAGGCCGAGTGGATAGTTTAGGAGAAAGAGCATGAGATTTAGACAAACAGACCCTGAATCAAAACCTGACCTCAGTACCCACAGTTCTAAGGACCTTTTATAAATCATAACATCTTTGGATGTTTTTCCCATCTGTAAAATGGGAATAACAGTGATAATACCTCCCTCAATTATACTAATATTTGCCTAAGATTGTTGGGAAATTTCAATGAAATGGTAAAATGACTATCTTTTGTTACCGTGAACAACAGTAACACTTATATAACTAAAAGTAATATCAATTATCTTATAGGATAAAACCCATAAACGCTATCTGCTGATCAGCATTGACCAGAGGAAAAAGATGCTCAAAAACCTCCGTAAGACCAACTATGATGTCTTTGAGAAGACATGTAGGGAACTCAGGATTGAGTACACCTTTCCCCCTCTGTATTACCGAAGAGCCCACCGCCGATTCGTCACCAAGAAGGCGCTGTGCATTCGGGTAGGGTTGGTAGCTGTTTTGGTTGGCCCAGTGGGACTGAGATGGAAGGAGCAGGTGGGAGGGGTTGTCTGTTTCTGTTAAAGTTATGGAACTGGCCCAAAGTCTGGAGGGGGCCCAGGGAAGTCACAGGCCACCAACCGCATGGAAAATGGCTGCGGTTATCACCTGTGGCGATAGTTCCCAGCCCACCCACTCCAAGTCTTAAGTTTTGAATGGAATTATGAGGTCTTTTCCTGTCCTCTTTCATCCCCAGGTTTTCCAGGAGGCTCAAAAGCTGAAGAAGCAAAAAAGGGCCTTAAAAGCTGCAGCTGCAGCAGCCCAAAATCAAGGCCAGAGGAACCCAGAGACCCCTTCCAAGGACCGACCAGAGGCACTCAAAGAAAACCAATAAATCCTGTTAAAATTCTTTCTTTCTGCCTTGAAGAATGATAGGAGAGAAAATCATCTCTTTTTGGTCTGAGGGAGAAGGAAGAATTTATTTTTTCATTCAGCTCTGGGATCCCAGAGTTGTTAAGGCAGTCTCTGCCCTTCTCCCAGAAGACACACTTGCATGACACCCCTCACACACGTTAATATGAACAACTACCTGTCATCCAGAAGGCGTATGTTTCAGTGTAGGCAAGACTAAGGACATGGCAGCACAGTGAAAGAGTAACTGACTGGGTGGAAAGACCATCCATAGGAGTTACCTTCTGGACTGGGCCCTAAAGGATGAGCAGGAGTTCACTGAGCAGGAATGGGTGGAAAGACATCCCAGGCAGAAGGAATTGCAAGTATAAAGGCAAAAAAATCTGGGCTGGGCACAGTGGCTCATGCCTGTAATCCCAACACTTTGGGAAGCTGAAACAGGAGGATTGCTTGAGCCTAAGAGTTTGAGACCAGCTTAGGCAAAATAGTGAGACCTTGTCTCTACAAGAAATTATCAGTTGCACTCCAGCCCAGGCAACAGAATGAGACTCCAACTCAAAAAAAGAGAAGAAGAAAAAAGGGCCAAGTCAAGATGGGAAGGATGATCCCTGAGGGCATAGCCTGAGTCAACAAAGGGCCAGGGTCAAGGGAGAGGTGAAGTGATGTAGGACAGAGCCAGGGATTCTGTAGATGTGAGAGGCAAGACTCCAGGAATAGTAGGGAAGGCCTTTAATGGGGCAGGACTTCTGAGTGGGCATGGCTACTTAGGGGTGCTATGCTAGAGGGAGAGGCCACCTTCATGATGTGGGGTGCCAACATTTAAGGAGGCTGGCAGAGGGGAAGAAAAGAACACACTTAAATGGATCAGGCCCTACAGGAAAGGCATTGGGTTAAGTGCTGCCTTAGGCACACTGTATAATACTCAAAGCCACCTTTACTCCCCACATTGGCTAATAATCCCCATTTTTCCAGAAGAGAACCGAGGTTCAGAAAGTTAGATAACGTGTCCAAATTCACACAGCCAGTTAGAGATAGGTCCAGTGTTCAAATCCAGCTCTGTCTTGACTCCAAAGCCCATGTTCTGTCCATTAGACCACACTGCCTAGGGACAAAGAAAAAATGGTCTGAGAAGCTAAGACAAGTCTACACTACAACAAACTAAAATGCCTTTAGGAGCCAGGCAGGTAATATAAATGCCTGAAGGCCCAACATAAGGTAGTAATGCTAAGCTGTTTGTTACATTCCCATTCTAGTTATATTCCCTTTTAAAACAGCACAGACCAGGCAAAATAACCAAATCAAAGCCTTAGTCCGCTAGCATTGGGCTACTGTATAATCCTGATACTGAGTTGTCAGTTAAGGGAAAGGCTAAAAAGTACCCATGGGGAAGCAGTTTCAGTGTGGTGCTTAATCCCAGTTGTAGGGAGGTATGGAGCAAGGATTTTAAGGAAGTTCCGGTTGTGAGTGTAGACTGCTTTAAAAAAAGCTGGCGTGGCTCAGCCTATAATCCCAGCACTTTGGGAGGCTGAGGTGAGTGGACTGCCTGAGTATGTGGGTTTAAAATCAGCCTCGGCACCTTGGAGAGACCTCGTCTCTACAATAAATCAAAAAACTACCCAGGTGTGGTAGTGTGCACCTGTAGTTCCAGCTACTTGGAAGGCTGAAGCGGAAGGATCGCCTGAGCTCAGCAGGTCGATGTTGGGGTGGTCGTGAGTGTGCCACTGTACTCCAGCCTGGGCAACAGAGTGAGACTTCAACTCGAAAAAAATCCTTGACTGGGGAGGAAGGAAAACAGATGAGAGGGTATGGGAAGGAAGCGAGGGTGGCCAGGTACACGGGATGACTCTAAAGCGGTAATGTAGCAGGAGCCAAAACAGTCTGGAATGCCCTGCCAAGGCATCCAGAGTGTAATCTGGCAAACGCAGGAAGCCACTGAAGGGATATGTCATATTTCTGAAATTTAGCCTAGCAGCCAGTGCAAGGTAGAAGAGAGAAAAGAGCAGAAATATGGAGGAACATAGTGATGTAGATAGAAAAAGAAATGGAGGAATAAATGTAAGAAAGGTTTTGGAGAAAAAAGCATAATTTGGAGGCCGGACGTGGTGGCTCAAGCCTGTATTCCCAGCAATTTGGGAGGCTGAGGTGAGAGGATTGTCTGAGTTCAGGGGTTTGAGACCAGCCTGGGCAACTTGGTGAGAATAAATCAATAAATCAAAACATTAATGGTGGTGCACACCTGTAGTTCCAACTTCCTGGAAGGCTGAGGCAGAAGGATCGCCTGAGCCCAGCAGGTCAAGGCTGTGGTGGCCATGAGTATGTCACTGCACTCCAGCCTGGGTGACCAAGTGAAACTACAACTCAAAAAAAAAAAAAGCACAATTTGGTAACCGATAAGGGCCCAGGAAGATGGATTTGGGAGTCAAGTTATATAAGTCCTGACATTTAGCCTGGGCATGGTGACTCACACTTGTAATCCCAACACTGGGAGGCAGAGGCAAAGGATGACTTGAAGCCAGGAATTCAAGACCAGCCTGGGCAACATAGTGAGACCTCTGTCTCTACAAAAATAAAAATAAAAAATTAGCTGGGCGTGGTGGCGTACTTGTAGTCCCAGCTACTCATGAGGCTGAGGTGGGAGGATGCCAGATATGGGGTCTGCAGTGAGCTGTGACAGTGCCACTGCATTCCAGCCTGGGCGACATAGCAAGACCTGGTCTCTCAAACAAAACAAAAAGTACTGACATTTACAGAAACAGTTGTTCATCGAAGTAAGTGTACAGCAGCAAGGCGCAGTGGCTCACACCTGTAATCCCAGGCGTTGAGAGCAGACTCCATTCTTCACCTCCACCTAGAATTCCAGGATCACTTTCTAGCCACCTGCTGTACCCTTTCATTTTGTATAAACAGCGAGGAGCAGGGAACTTCCGGGCCAGACGCTTTCAAGCACACAGTAGGGAGGCCATGCAGTTGCCTCCAAGAGCTTCTGGGTCCTCCCCATCTAAGTCAGCCACCACTTCGACTGAGGGCTTTCGGGGCGTTTTCCGTGATCTCACTGACCCCTCTCAGCAGCCCAGAGGGGGGTGTTTCTCCCATTTTACATCAGAGGAGGCAGAAGCCGAAAACCCCGCCAAAGTCACGCCGCGAGGAAGCAGTCACCGTGAGGCCCACTCAGCTCCGTCTGCCCCGAGCGTGCCCTGATGACGTTCAGTGTTGGCTTTCCTCTTATGGGCACCTGAGGCCCGCGTCTGCGTCGGAGCCCCGGCTCGCCGCGCCGACTCCGCTCCAGCCTCGCCCTTCCCAAGCGGCCTTAAGAAGTCAAAGCCAGCGCTCACCGGCGGGGGCCAGCGCCGCGCCGCGTCCGGCCGAGCAGCCCGCCGCGCCCAGTGAGAGCCCGCTCTCAGGGCACCTCCCACCAAGCTGCCTTTTGATTGGCTCCCCTCTCCCGTCGCGGCGTTGCCCTAGCGACCAGGCTGCTGGGACGCAACCACGGGGCCTCCGGGCCACATGCGTCTGAGTCCGGGGCTCTTCTCCAGCCCCGCTCCTCTCCAGCACCATGTCCGTGCGGACGCTGCCGCTGCTCTTCCTGAACTTGGGCGGGGAGATGCTCTACATCCTGGACCAGCGGCTGCGGGCCGAGAACATCCCAGGAGACAAGGCCCGCAAAGGTGAGAGGCCCCCGCCCGCACAGCCCAGGCCCGCACCCACAGCCCGGCCTCCTCACCGCCGCCCTAACACCCACAGCCACCAACCCCCCTGCATACTTCACTCTTATAGCCAGGGACCGTTGTCACAAGCCACAGCTCCCATCCCGGTTGGAGCTCCTCAGGAGTCAGACTCTTCAAAATATTTCACAGCAGAGGAACCGAGTACCGCCACTGGTTGTAATTAGGGCACCTCGTCCCCGCTAATTTCCCCATCGCTTCAGATAGGAGAGGTGATTCCCAATCTCTTTTGACAACCGGTTCCTTCCAATGTAGGAGTCGCATCAGCTGCCCACCACCTGGCAACATACCCTTTGCTTGTCCAAGCTCTCTCTTTACTCCCAAGGAACAGTTTCTTATTCTCTATTGCCCTACGTAATATCCTCCCACATAAGCTGGAGACTAGTCTTGCTCCTTTCAGAAGCTGCTTCTAGAAATGTAGGGTTCAGCGAGCACAGTGGCTCACTCCTGTAATCCCAGCACTTTCAGAGGCTGAGGCAGGAAGATGGCTTGAGCCCAGGAGTTGGAGACCAGCCTAGGCGATATAGCAAGGCCTTGTCTCTACAAAAGTTTTTTAAAAATTAACTGGGTATGGTGGTGCGTGCCTGTAGCCCCAGCTACTGCCACAGGCTGAGGCAGGAGGATCACCTGAGTCCAGGCTGCAATGAACTGTGATTGTATCTTGGCACTCCAGTCAGGGCAATAGAGTGAGACCCTGAAAAAAAAAAAAGAAAGAAAGAAAAGGAAATGTAGGGATCTAAAATAATATAGATAAATAATAAAACACAAGAAAATCATAAGCCTTTCCCTTCACAAGTGTTAGAGGGGAATGCATTTATGAAAATAATTATATGAGAGCTTCTAAAAGGCAAAATCTGACTCCTATATACACTACATCTAATCTAGAGAAATAACCACTCAGAACACTCTACCACTCTTTTCTTTTTCCTCTTTTCCACCCTTCTCAGCAAACAACTGCTTTCACCAAATTTCCTGGAATTAAGCATGAAGGAAGCCAGGATCACGCCTGTAATCCCACTTTGGGAGGTGGAGACAAGAGGATTACCTGAGCCCACGGTTTGAGACCAGCCTGGGCAACATGACGAGACCTCATCTCTACAGGAAAAAAAAAAAAAAAAATTAGCTGGGCATGGTGGCGCACACCTGTAGCTCCAGCTACTTGGAAGGCTGAGGCGGAAGGGTCAACTGAGCCCAGCAGGTCGAGGCTACAGTGGCTGTGAGCATGCCACTGCACTCCAACCTGGGTGATAGAGTGAGACTCCAACTCAAAAAAAAAAAAAGCATGAAGGAAATACTATATTTCAAGGTAGAGAAGGGAAAAGTTTATATAAAGGTGGTTGAAATGGCCATTGATTAAAACATTCTCTACAAAAGTCTCTGTATACTCAATTGATGTTAAACATACATATTCAGATATTAAGCATACATATTCAGATATTAACTACTGTGTCTGTGTGATTGAGTTCAGGTCCATGCATGAAGAGATAAAAAGAACCCCCAGCCAGGCGAGGGGCTCAAGCCTGTAATTCCAGCACTTTGGGACGCTGAAGCAAGAGGATTGTCTAAGCTCAGGGGTTCGAGACCAGCTTGGGCAACTTGGTGAGAACTTGTCTCTAGAAATAAATTTTAAAAATAAGCCAGACTTGGTAGTGCCTGCCTGTAGTTAAATAAATGGCTGCCAAAAAATAGAAGATGTGGACATAATGCAAAAGAAAACAGTATAAGGCCAGGCTTCTGGTGCTGCTCTCCTGATACTTTCTCTCCAAAAACTCAGGACTCTTGGTGGGGAAAGATGGTGAATTTTCCCAGAGGAGTCTGATCTTACAGTCCCCTTGCAGCCAGTTAGGGTGTGGCACTGGGCATGCTTTCAGACTGGTCTAGGGAGCTGTTGGTATTATGTATTGAGCCATGTGCCAGTTGTGTATTTTTTTTTTCTTATTTTCTTTTTTGAGTTAGAGTCTCATTCTGTCGCCCAGACTGGAGTGCAGTGGCATGCTCACACCACAGCAGCCTCTACCTGCTGGGCTCAGGCGATCCTTCTGCCTCAGCCTTCCAAGTATCTGGAACTACAAGGTGCATGCCACCATACCTGGCTTTTTTTTTTTTTTTTTTTTTTTTGAGTCAGAGTCTCACTCTGTTGCCCAGGCTAGAGTGCAGTAGCATGCTCATGGCCACCACAGTCTCAATCTGCTGGGCTCAGGTGATCCTTCCCCGCCTTAGCCTTCCAAGTAACTGGAATTACAGGCATGCACTACCACACCCGACTTATTTTTTGATTTATTGTAGAGATGAGGTCTTGCCAAGTTGCCCAGGCTGGTATTGAACCCCTGAGCTCAGACAATCCTCTCGCCTTAGACTCCCAAAGTGCTGGGGGTACAGGCTTGAACCACAGCACCCATGTATATGGCCTGGTGTAGTGGCTCACATCTGCAACCTCAGCACTTTGGGAGGCTCAGGCAGGAGAATTGCTTGAGCCCAGGAGTTCAAGACCAGCTTGGGCAACATAACAAGACCTCATCTCTACAAAAAATAAAAACATTAACTGGGCGTAATGGTGCACATCAGTAGTCTCAGCTACTTAACTGACATGGAAGAATCGCCTGAGCTGTGGTGAGCTATGATCGCCATTGTACTCCAGCTTGGGCAACAGAGCAAGTCCCCAGCTCAAAAAAAAGTCATGTATATGACTTAGATTATAACTTCAGAAACAATCTACTGGCAAATGGTTCCAGCAAAGACTGTTAATTACAAAACTTTTTTAAAATATGGATATGTGTAGAACTCTTTATCTGGGGATAATTTTTCTAGATTGAAATCTCTAAAAATTAAGGAGAAAACAAAATAATCTTTCATCCTTGGTGGGTGGTATCCAATGCCCTTCAGTAGAGAAAGCAGAACCAGAAGGGGAGCTAGTTAAGTGTTTGATGTGTATTATCCATTTGTCCCCAAAACAACTCTGTGAGGTAGGTACTATCATGCCCCCCATTTTACAGATGAAGAAACTGAGGTTAAAGAAGTTGTTTGCACATGCCTATGGTTCTAACTACTTGGAAGGCTAAGGCGGAAGGGTCACTCACTGCAAGTTGAGGCTGCAGTGGCCATGAGCATGCCATTGTACTCCAGCCTAGGCAACAGAGTGAAACTCTAACTCAAAAAAAAAAAAAAAAGTTGTTTGAAGTTTATATAGCTAAAAAGTGATGGAGCTATGTCTCAACCCATAAAGGGTCTTGATTCTTACAAATTTTTCTAGCCAACTGCACTTTTCCTCATTTGTTCTCCTTTTGGGGTCTCCCTGATTGCCTATGCTCTCAATATCTTTCTTTACAGTGTTCTCATCATTATTCCCTTCTTTTTACATGGAAATCAGGTGTATATAACAGAAAAGCAGAAACAAATACTGACATATTTTCCTTTTAATTCACATTTCAAGTTTTCTAACTTTAGCAGTTCCATCTGTACTTCAGAAAGGGAATCTTACCTTAATAAGAAATAAGATTGTACCCAAAGAAACTCCTTTCCTTGCCTGTTCTTGGAATTATTCTTTCTCAAGGAGGCTAGTGTCTTTAAAAGCTTGGTTTTGAGTAATGGGTATTCTTGTAGCATTAGAGAACATGGCTTCCTGAGCCTTTGGTGAGCCCCAGGGTAGCTCATCCTCCTGAGTTTCTGCTCTTCTTAGGCCACTCTCTAGAAGACATAGCCTTTCTTCAGCTTTTTTGGAATTTTTTATTTGTCATCCTTTTAAAAGCTTCAAATAGAAGTCAGGACATTTGCATTAGACATTAAAAGCAAACATGAAAAGTAAAGTGTCATAGATCAGATAATTAGAATTGGTATTTGTAAAGCCTCCTTGAAAATAATCTTGCTTCATGAACTGGTGTTTTCTTTTTATATGCTTCATGTAGATGAATGGACAGAGATGGACAGAAAACGAGGTATGCTATCTCTGGGCTGCATGTATTCAGTCTGCATCTACAGGTTCACTCAGGCCTTTATAGTGGGGCTCAAAGTGGGACCACTCTAAATATTGCAAGTAAAATAGGCATGAGTGTCTTTTTCGCTGAGATATTGGTTGTACATCTGAATCTTTTACTTAAGAGGAATAAATAACAGCATGTAAGATGAAAACTAAGCATACTTTGACCAAAGGGCCACACTGTACCTGAAGGATCTGTTTCATTTTTTTCAGTCCTAAGCTTTGCAGGGACAGCTGGGACAGTAGCCATACTTGGGCAGGTCGTCCTATTTGGTAATTGTTAAAACAACTTTATTAAAGTATCAGGTCACCAAAGAATTATGCTTCAACATGAGTGGCCCTCCCTGAGCCATTCTCCTTAGCACACAGAGGTATCTGCTAAGCAACCGAGACAAATGGAAGCATGTAACTGCATGGCTGCCAGGACCCTGGGGAGAAGGCATGACGTCATGCATGCAGTGTGGCCTCTTCATGCAAATCTTCAGTTTCCCCTTCACCTACCACTAACAGCAAACCTAAAAAAGTTGTCAACTCCTCAGAGTAAAGGCTTCGTTTTTCTCAACCTTCAAATGCCACAGGTCCCTTCCATCATTTGACATTTGGGTGCGGTTTATGCCTAGCATCAGCTGCCATCCTTGGTGTTTTAGGTGCACTCATCACACCAAGTATGGTGGGAAAATAACCAATATAATATTTAAGAGCATAGGCATTAGAATCAAACAGGCTTCATTGTCATTATAACCACATTGCCAACTGTGTGACCTTGGACTTTAAACTCTCCAAGATTCAGTTTTCCTCCTTAATAGAATAAAGATAATAATTCAGAATTCAAATGAGATAATACATCTAAAATTCTAAGCCCAGTGCCTGGAACATGGTAAGGATTCAAACATAGGAACAATTCAGGAGGGTTTCCTAGCCTTGCTCCAAAATTCTTGGCTCCAAATTGCATATTCCCATAAGCAAGTGAACTTAGAACAGAAGTAATTGGTAAAAACCTGGGCCTTTCAAGGTGAGTTTCTGCTGAGTTTCTGCTCTTCTTAGGCCACTCTCTACAAGACATAGCCTTTCTTGGGCATTTTTGGAACTTTTTACTTGAACAATTTCTGACTCATCCCTTGATGCATGGCAGAGTTTCAAGTGTGAATTTTGAGGGCTTTTATTATACAAAATTGAATAATTGGAATTTATTTTAACTGAAATGTTCAAAAATAATGAGTAGAACTGACTTCTTGACTGGGTGCAGTGGCTCACGCCTGTAATCCTAGCACTTTGGGAGGCAGAGGTGAGAGGATTGCTTGAGTTCAGAAGATTGAGACTGCTTCTGGGAGGAAGGAAGGAAGGAAGGAAGGAAGGAGGGAGGGAGGGAGGGAGGGAGGGAGGAAGGAAACTGACTTTTTAATCTGAACCCAAGACTAAGAAGCTTGATGTGGAGAACTCAGTTACCAACCTTCTGATGAACCGTGAAAACTCCCATCCCTCCCCTGCCTTAGCCTTTTCCTGATGAAATGTGGCTCCTAGTACATTCTCACCTCCTAAAAGTTTGCAGAACTTATTTGCATACCAAAAACCAGCCCTAACCAGACTAAGGGTCTGATTACAACTGTTTCTTGGGTTTAACTTAAATATGATATGCTGCTTTTTCTCTAGGGCAAGGCTAATTTCTCCCTTCTCTCTGTGCCCATTGTGTTGATCTCAGTGTCTGGTACATAATAGGCCTGCCTCAGTCAAGTGCCAGGTGCAGCAGATTGTGAGAAGATAACATGGTAATGTGTGCCTCCTTAAGGAGATGAGATGGGAGCCCTGGGTGCCAGGGCCCAACCACTAAATTGCTATCTCTTCTTTGAGGCATTTGTACTCACTGCTCAGCTCACAAGAACAGATCCTGCTGTCTTCTCTTCCCAACAGGCAACTTATCTGCACATCCTGTGCCAGGAGCCATGGTGATGTGTAGCTTCTTCACTTCCTAGGGGGAAAGGCTTCATTTTGCTTTTTACTTTGCCAGAGCAGCTAACAATCACCTTGGGGTTTTCTTTCTTTTAGAACGGATTTATTTGGGTCTAAGCTATTTTCTTAGATCCTTAAAGGACTCAAAGACTGGAGAAATTATTCAGCACCTAGGTGAATTGGTAGCTTTTTGTAAGCATCAGCCAATCAGAGTTGATGTGATGCTTTAACTTGGATTCTTCCTCTCTGGCACTCCTCCCTGGCCTACATAAATCTGTGGAAAATTCTTCATAGTCTCTTTTGAGGACTTATGTGTGGCTTTTCAAGTGTACCTGTATCCTTGCAAATTCTGCATTTTATATAGTCTATGATATGAAAAACAAGTGAGAAAACCCAGTTTATTGTAGGTCCTTACTTGTTTCTTTCAAAGGAAAAAGGCCAGGCATGAAGCAAACCCAAAGAGTTCATGTGTATCCAAGTTGTCTAGGTCCGGGAAATGTAAATACACATGGAGGGCAAGCTGCAATGGGCTGTTGTGCAGTGGCATGCTCACGGCCACCGCAGCCTTGACTTGCTGGGCTTAGGCAGTCCTTCCCCTCAACCTAGAACTACAGGCACATGCCACCATACCCAGCTAATTTTTTGATTTATTGCAGAGATGAGGTTTCGCCAAGCTGCCCAGGCTGGTCTCGAACCTGTGGGCTCAGGCAATCCTCTCACCTCAGCCTCCCAAAGTGCTGGGATTATAGGTGTGAGCCACCACACCCAGCCTTAATTTTTTAATTTATTGTAGAGACAAGGTCTTGCCATGTAGGCCAGGCTGGTCTCAAACCTGTGGGCTCAGGCAATCCTCTCGCCTTGGCCACCCAAAGTGCTGGGATTGCAGATATGAGCTACTGTGACTGGCTGAGATGCTTTTACTTGCTGACCGGAGCCCTCAGGGCACTTTACTTCCAGGCTGAGAATGCCTGAAATAGTCACCACATGACTCTACTGTGCCTTCACTCTGAAGATACATGGCCATAGTAGTCACCTTTTACTCTGCAAAAGAAGGAGGAGTTGTGGCACATGACTGTAGTCCCAGCTACTTGGAAGGCTGAGGCGGAACGATCACCTGAGCCCAGCAGGTTGAGGATGCTGTGACTGTGAGTGTGCCACTGCACTCCAGTCTAGGCTACAAAGTGAGACTCTGACTCAAAAAAAAAAAAAAGAGGAGTTGATATCTTTCCTCTAGGGATCACTCCTGTTTAAAAATTGATTTTGAGCCGGGCTCGGTGGCTCAGCCTGTAATCCCGCGCCTTTGGGAGTCTGAGGTGAGTGGATTGTCTGAGCCTGCATGCCTGTAATTCCGGCTACTTGGAAGGCTGAGGCAGAAGGATCGCCGGAGCCCAGCAGGCCGAGGCTGCGGTGGCCGGGAGCAGCCACTGCACTCCAGTCTGGACAACAGAGTGAGACTCCAACTCAAAAAAAAAAAAAAATTGATTTTGTATAATTATTTTAAGTAATCCATTTTGCTTTCACATTTTAATTTTTACAAATGTATTCTCTTGGTACCCACATACTCTCACATTTAGGCCATAATAACTGGTTTAATTAAGGATAATCTGTGTTCAATCATACCTGTTCCTATTTTCTTATACCAGAGGGTTTTCCTATCCCTTAACTAGTGATATTTTACTCAATAGGACAAAATATCTAAATGAAGGCCTAAAATTATAGACACTTTGATTTGCACACTTTTTAATTTTCACCAGATGAAAATTTTTCATTTGAGCAAAAGTATGAGATATAGCACTATAGTATAACATCAATATTATAGATCAAATGTAGGAATTTAGGCATTCTAAAATGGTGCTATCCAAAATACATGTAGAAACATTAGAGGTGTTTTAATCTCTAACCAGGGTAGACTAGTCTATTTTCTTTTTTTGTTTTGTTTTGTTTTGTTTTTTTGAGTTGGAGTCTCACTCTGTCACCCGGGCTGGAGTGCAGTGGCACGCCCACAGCCACCCCAGCATCGACCTGCTGGGCTCCAGTGATCCTTCTGCCTCAGTGTTCCAAGTAGCTGGAACTATAGGTGCATGCTACCCACCCAGCTAATTTTTTTTTTTAATGGTAGAGATGAGGTCACACCGAGTTGCCCAGGCTGGTCTCAAACCCACAGGCTCAGGCAATCCACTTGCTTCTGCCTTCCAAAGTGCTCGGATTATAGGCTGAGCCACCGAGCCCAGCCACCTTGTCTATATTCAATAAATGTTTTTCAAAAAAACAGTCAATTGCCATTATTGGTCCCATTTTGTAAAATCTAATTTTAAGTAAAAAATACTTATATTTACTTTTAAAAAAGTGATTTGTCATTTTCAGGAAGAGATCTAATCTAAAATACTTATAGGAATCTTATTTAAAGAAAGAAGAAACATTTCTCTTCTCATCAAGAGCAATAATGTATGTAAAAGTGGTTTATAACCGCTGAAGCACAACACATTGGTACCTCATCATCAGTTACATCTGCCCTGAAATGGTGTCATAAAACACTCTCTGAGTGCTGCTTTCTACTGGGTTGCCTGTATGGACCCCCAGGGAGCCGATCTCACTAAGCATGCAGCATCCTGGCTCTGAATCGTACACACCCAGCTTTTCCACCTGCACACAAGGAGCGCTTGGAATAAAGAACTTCCTCCATTAACTCACTCAGCTGTATTCTCTCTTGTCTCTACAGTTATGAACGACATCATCTCGACCATGTTCAACAGAAAGTTTATGGAGGGATTATTCAAACCTCAAGAGCTCTATTCCAAGAAGGCCCTGAGAACTGTCTATGACCGGCTGGCTCATGCCTCCATTATGAGACTGAACCAAGCCAGCATGGATAAGGTGAGCAGACAGCTGCCTCTGCCATCTCGGTTGCATTTCTTGTACCTTTTAAGGATGATCATAGACTAGGGTCAAATGAGATGATATATGCAATGATGCCTTGCAAGAAACATACACAGGTAAATATTAGTAGTTGTAGCTGAATTTGAGAGTTGGGAAAAATCTCAGAAATCATCCACACCACACCTATTTTGGTTATTCCAAACCGCCCAAAGAGTGCAGTTTCAAGCTCATATTTATGAACCTAGGAATATGTGCCTTAACCGAAAAAAAGGACTCAATCTTTTTTTGAGTTGGAGTCTCACTCCAGCCCAGGCTGGAGTGCAGTGGAACGCTCACAGCCACCCCAGTGTTGACCTGCTGGGCTCCGGTGATCTTCTACCTCAGCCTTCCACGTAGCCATAACTATAGGCGTGCACTACCATCTCTGGAAATTTTATTTTTTTAATTTATTGTAGAGGCGAGGTCTGGCCAAGTTGCCTGGGCTGGTCTCAAACCCATGAGCTCAGGCAGTCCACTTGCCTTGGTCTCTCAAAGTGCTGGGATTATAGGCTGAGCCACTGAGCCTGGCCCACTCTGATTTTTTAAAGCAACAATCCCTTCAGGAATATACCTCTGGAAAAAAATAATTCTATATAAGTAATGGCAGAGGATAGACCAGTCTATTTAAAAGAATTCCAGCTGGGCTCGGTGGCTCAGCCTGTAATCCCGGCTTTGGGAGACTGAGGTGAGTGGATTGCCTGAGCCCGTGGGTTCGAGACCCGCCAGGGCAACTTGGCGAGACCTCATCTCTACAATAAATCAAAAAAATTAGCCGGGCGTGGTAGCACGCGCCTGTAGTTCCAGCTACTTGGAAGGCGGAGGCGGAAGGATCGCCAGAGCCCAGCAGGTTGGGGCTGCGGTGGCCGTGCGGCCACTGCACTCCAGTCTGGGCGACAGAGACTCCAACTCAAAAAAAAAAAAAGAAAGGAATTCAGATGATTTATATAAATACTCTGCCCTCAAGGAGGGAGAGCATAACTCCCTGCTCCTCAGGTAGGGGCTGCCCTTAGTGACTTCCTTTCAAAGGGTACAGTATGGAAAGGAGGAAAAAAATAGATAGCTTTACAGCGAAGAAACTTGACAAACCACCTCAACCAGTTGGTCAAGTTCAGTATCAACAATGATGAATCATGTCACTATTTTGTACCTGACATGATGTGAAAAAATGGCACCCTATCTCTATGGTCTTCCTCCCCAAAACCCTAACCATAAGAAAATGTCAGACAAGTATCATTTGTCGGTCATTCTACAAAATACCGAGCCAATACTCAAAACTGTCAAGGTCACCAAAATCAAGGAACGTCAAACTGTCACAATCACGATGAACCCAAGGACCACTGAATATAATGTGGGCTTTAGTTAATTTAAAAGATAATTTTTTTCAAGTTTTTCCATTATGTAAACATTATTTATTTGTTTGTTTGTTTGTTGGGTTAGGGTCTCACTCTGTCACGCACGCAGGAGTACAGTGATGTAATCATGGCTCACCACAGCTTTGACCTTCTGGGCTCAGGAGGTCCTTCCACCTCAGCCTCCCAAGTAGCTGGGACTACATGCAAATGCTACCATGCCTGGCCAACTTTTTTATTTTTTGTAGGGACAAGGCCTCACTATGTTGCCCAGGTTGGTCTCAAACTCCTGGTCTCAAGCAGTCCTTCCATCTCAACCTCCCAAAGTGCTGGGATTACAGACATGAGCCACCCCGCCTGGCCATTATGTGAATTTTTTAAAATCATGAAGACTGCCGGGCATGTGGCTCAATCCTGTAATCCCAGCTACTAAGGAGGCTAAGGCAGAAGGATCACTCGAACCCAAGAGTTCGAGACTAGCCTGGGCCACATAGCAAAACTCTATCTCTACAAAAGAAAATTTGTTTAAAATATAAGGACTAGTGGTGGGTAGTAGGTGTGCAAAACCAACACTTACTTATTACTGGTACCTAGAAGCCTCAGGGAGATAGACTGCCTTTAACTGCCCTCTTATCTCCTGCCACTTACCTTTGGAAAGTTACTTTGGCTAGACCAAGCATGGTGGCCTGTAATCCCAATTCTTAGGGAGGCAGAGGCAAGAGGATTGCCTAAGCCTAGGGGTTGAAGATCAGCCTGGGCAATTTGGTGAGACCGCATCTCTACAATAAATCAAAAACTCAGCTGTGTGTTGTGGTACACGCCTGTAGTTCCAGCTACTTGGAAGGCTGAGGTGGATAGATCGCCTGAGCCTAGCAGGTTGAGGCTGCGGTAGCGGTGAGCGTGCCACTACACTCCAGTCTGGGCAACAGAGTGAGACTCCAACTCAAAAAACAAAAGCAAGAAGAAAGTTACTTTATCTCCCTGAGCCCCCATTTTCTCATCTACAAAATGGGGGTGACAACAGCTACATCATCAGTTATTGAGAGGATTAAGTAAGAAGCATATCTAGGCCTGGCACATAGTAGATGTTCAGTAAATATTAATTATCTTTTCAGTTCTGCTTGATCTTCTCTCTCTTCCTTTAAGAAAGTTTGGGTTTTCATATAGAAAGGACACAGAATTTGAAGTTTTAAAAAACTGAGTTCAGGCCAGGCACAGTGGCTCAGCCTGTAATCCCAGCACTTTGGGAGACTGAGGGAAGTGAATTGTCTGAACTCACGGGTTCAAGACCAGCCTGAGCAACTTTGTCTCTACAATTAATAAAAAATTAGCCAGGCATGATAGCACACACCTGTAGTTCTGGCTACTTGGAAGGCTGAGGCGGAAGGATCGGTGGAGCCCAGCAGGTCGAGGCTGCGGTGGCCGGGAGCATGCCACTGCACTCCAGCCTGGGTGACAGAGTGAGATTCCAACTCAAAAAAAAAAAGAAAAAACTGTGTTCAAGTCTTAGCTCTACCAGTTACCAGCTATGGGACTCAATTTACTGAATAACTCTGAACTTTCATTTCTTCATCTTGTATCTGTTTTTATCCGTTATTTCTAGCATGATTTCCTATACATACACAGACACTTAATGATTGCTAATGATGGCAGAGTCATCACACACACATCAGGTTGTTCCTGTTATATGCCATTTTCTTTCTTTCTTTCTTTCTTTTTTGAGTCGGAGTCTCACTGTCTCGTCCAGGCTGGAGTGCTCACGGCTACCATAGCCTCAACCTGTCGGGCTCAGGCAATCCTTCCACCTCAGCTTTCTGAGTAGCTGGAACTACAGGCATGTGCTGCTACACGTGGCTAATTTTTCTTGATTTATTGTAGAGACAAGGTCTCACCAAGTTGCTCAGGCCAGTCTCGAACACCTGGGCTCAGGCAGTCCTCTTGTCTCGGCCTCCCAAAGTGCTGGGATTATAGGCTTGAGCCACCACAC